GCAGGAATGTAGGATTATGGTGAAACTGTGATCAGACTGATTTGGTGGTATTCATCTAAATAAGGTGCATTAAGTGCTCACCCTATGAGCCAATTGCAACCAACTAGTGGTAGATTGGAGCAGGTGTCTCAATGGTCAGAGATAAATGAACTCTCATATAGATCAGATATAGGCCTGTGAACGAAGCTTAACTACAGGCTCACATCAAAAGCACATTTAGGTGGAATTTTCCCTCTCTTATCCAGAGGGCATGCACACCATCAGGGAAAAGCATGCGGTTGGGAAGGCTGAAACAAACTAAGACGTGGCTGGAAAAAAACCCTGAACGAACCCAGAACCACAAGCGCCAGTAGGCTGAAATTTTGGCAAAAAGTACTTGGAGGCATCCATCTATCTCATGTCTGCTGCAGGGGAGGACAATACCAACGGGTAATGCGTTATTCACATCCACAAATTGGATGGATATCACTCCGATCGGAGCGAAGTGAGATATGAAAGATATATAATAGTTTGCAGGTTCTACAAGCACACAGTAGACTGTCACGTGGAGCTAGCGTGCCAACAAATAGGATACAGCTTTCTGGGACCGTGAAATTGCACAGTTCACGATCACTGCCTGACGGGTTAAACTGGTGGTGGTTGAGTAATAAGAGGATTAACCAGATCTTACAAAGTAAAACGAGAAAAAGGCTCATGTAACCGTCTCTTTGTGGCCGAAAACGAGTCGATGACCAACTGAAAGGACAGGAGGACTCAGTGGAACGATCGCGGAAGCACTGGTCAGGTTCCCGTCGCTTTGAGGCTGTGCACGAAAATCATCATGCACAGACGGGTGACAAACATACAACCGGTGCTTTTGAGAAGCATTGAAAAGATTCTCATTGAAACAGCTAGGGTGATTTAGTATTAAATGCATGCCGATTTGATCCTCTTAACTGTTGCTGTAGATAGAACAGCATGTACTTTGCAACGAATAGAATTCACATCATCTACCGCTTAACCACGTCAACTTGAAAGAACCCAATTCGCTTTCGAGAATTTATGCCAAGATTTTGAGTTTTCGAAGACTTCTGAACCTCCAGACTGAGTTATGATTGCATCATATTTAGTGACATGTAATGCATTTCCGGAAAGCTCGATTGCATCAGTTTTCTACGGGCGTTCCTTCAAAAACTTCTACCACCTTTCAACAGAAGACTTGTGCTGAGTGTCGTTCAAGAAAATTAGGTAAATTCACTCATACTGCAAATATCTTGAGGTGAGACACCCAGCTAGATGGATTGAGGATGGTTCTGCTAGTGGCATACTGTGGCCGTGGACTGTTGGTTCGCACTACCGCGCGTAAACCTACACGCGGACGTTACGGCTATATCCCACAAGCTTGCCCGGTCCCATTTCTCCTGAGGTGGGTGACATAAGTTTACCAAGTTCTGAATCGCAGCTGATCTGCGATGTCCTGCACAGATAAACCTCTAGTTTTCGTTCGCCAGTTTGGCAGCTAAAGAGAGAACATTTCTTGCCGAATTTTCAAACAGTCCTGTGAACACACGGTGACTGTGCGAGGTAAGAATGATGCTGACTCCCCTTATCGATCCGTTTGTTGTTCCTCAACTCAAAAACCAGGATGAGAAGACGTAAATTTTGGGCTTTTGGATGTAGCTGTTCCCAGTTAGCTGAAGAAATATCAGAAACATACGCAAATGCAAACGCGGTCGTTTACTGAAATTAGCCTTGGAGCTGGCGTGGTCAGCGTCTATCCAGCGATCCATCTTTACACACTACTACATACTATTATAAACCCGCACCCATTCTCCGAGAAGTCAGAATTGTTAACGGGGGGAATATTAAGTAACAAAAAGCCGTTGGTTGGAAACACAGCGTACCTTTGATACGGGGGATTTAAAAGTGCTCCTAATGCGCGGTGTCCTATATCGAGGAGGGTCTTAAAACCGGTACTTAGAAGTAATGATCTAAGGGTGGCCAGATCAAGTGATACGTATAATGAATCAATGGCACTCCCACTGACCACTATTTGTTATCGCCGAAACTTAGAGGAGAGGACGAACAACAACCGGGTTATGAAAAATCCAGCCGCACTTGGTATGATCGGTAGATATCGCTTACTTGTTAGAGGGTCAGATGATAATTCTAATCAACAGATGGAGATGTATCACCATATTATTGTCTGTTGCCTTTGGTGACGAACCTGTGTATGAAATAGCATATTCTGTACTCTTCAGTTACCCTCTAGTAAGCTGGTTGTTTCCCGTTTCCTCCTAGAAGCCTATGGTTAAGCAGTTCTCATGTGGAGGTAGTCCCTTCAGGCGGAGCTTCCATTAGTCCAAACAGACCCGGACTTGAGGACATCTACTGAAAAAACTACTGGTGATCCGGTCTATCTGACGTTGGAACCATATAAGATTCAACTTTCCCTACTGGTTCTATGTATCGCTGATGACAAGACGTCGCCTTGACAAGTTCATTGTGCAGTAGGCTTGCTAAAAAAATTCTACGTATATTCGTAATGCACTACTCATAAGGTTACTGAAATTCTACGTAGTTAAAGTGACTGCACATTGAAGGAATAAGGAGGCGCACCTTGCGTATTTTTAGAGCTAACCGTTATCCTATTCGATGAACCTGTCATAAGGTTACACGTACTAAAATGCATGAGAACCGAATAAGCTTTCGAACTCGAGCGCGATGACCCAAGGCCTCTAAAGGACAAAACGCTTGAAAATGTTAGAACAATGCCCTGTTCTGGGCAGATCAGGTTCACCGAAAAGTCAAATAATGAAACAGAAAGGGGTGATGGTAGGGTCATAAATTGCAACATTCAGTGGATTGACCCAGAGGATATTCCACTGAGACTTATCATCCTCGGACATAAACTGTCACGAGCAGTATATGCGAACTTATATAAAGATGCGGAGAAAAACTGGAAGACTCATCGTAAGACCTGTCGTCGTTTCTTGCTTTACTGAGGAAGATTTTGGGAGGAAATGAATACGGCTTATTTTGACCTGGATTTTTCTAACGGTCCCCATTCACCATCATCGTATTAAAAGCTTTAGTGTCTCTGTTTAGGTTTCATCTACTCGCTTACGTTGAAAGCAACTGCAATACGCATTATCCCCTATCCTACTTGTGGGCGTTGTTTGAATTATTTTGACTTGATCACGTATTGACTCCTCGGTACCTGATAAAGTGACTGAATGGAGCAAAACAAGTTGTAAACTACCGTTTCGTTCGATTTAAGGTATCTGCTTTGACGATGGTGCCGGACTTGATGCTAGAGTCTGTGCTGACAACGAGGATGAGCGGTCAGTCGTAGTTAAAATCCAGTTTATGAGATGGACGCTGAAATCCAATTTAGGGTGTCAGAAATGTCCACTGGTGGTGACTGACAACAGAAGTGAAATCATCCAGCTACGAGGTGACCCCGCATCGTGTTAACTGAAAGCTTCCGTAGTTCACTCCGAAAAGTCAGAAGTGAGAAACTATTGTCAGTGGACATCCTACCGGCCCCAATTACGCGAGGAGCTCCCGGTTCTTCGTTTGTGAAAGAAACAAACAATGCGAAATGGAAATGCTATTGGCGTTGGAATCCGCCACGCGTGGGGAAAACGGTGAATCGTCTGAATTAAATATTTCGAAGATTGTCAGATCGGATTTGTTTCAGACAACCAATCTATTCAGTCAAGTGGGGATGGTACACACACGATAATAAGCCATTAGTCAGGTAAAAAAAGACAGAATTTGACGAAGAGAGCAGCGGAATGGTGGGAGCATTTAGGCCATCATCATCATCTATTCGTTTTCTAAATTGAGTCCTCAATAGAATATTTTAAACGTGAGTGAATTCCCCGCATCATACAGAGCAATACTATGATACAATTCATGTTCGGATCCTTAAACTGTTCACGCTTAACAGGACTACCTATATTGAAAATCCGTAAATTGAAAACATGAATTTTTTGCCTTTGGTTTTCCTGAGTGTGTTTTAAGGCATTTAGACGGCGGGTTGGACGAAATGAAAGAGCCTGCTTTTGACCAATAGTTGGCATATGAAAACAAACTGAGCAATAAATAGTCAGGATAATTTAGTTGAAAGAGTATCGAGTATCACAGAAGCTCTGATGAGCACCAATCTTCTACATCAACCTCACGCTTCTAATTAAAGATGGAGAGCAGCATGAGACTGACCATTTTAGGATCTGGTCACACTTTCACTAGAGATGGGGTTCTCCGGTTCAAATCTTAATCACAGTGGAACCACATGTAACGGAAGGCAAGAGAAAAAACGATTATGGCAATAAGATTTCAAAAACACCTACCGGCAGTGGTGGTTGAAGGTGTGGTTGGTTTTGCGAATTGGGGCAAAGGACGCAGAAGCTCTAGATCGACAGAACTACCCGAGCCGGTCAACAGCGCTATAACCTGATCGTGCCTGGCATCTTTCACATCGATTCCATTGACCTGCAGAAGCATGAGGTAAAAAATAACGTCATAAAAGGGGACGGAGAAATCGACACATGCATCAGTAATAAGGGTAACTTATGGCAACTGAGCACCAGGATAATGCGTACTGCTGTCAGTGGCAATGAAAAGGGTAATGAGTGTCATAGGTATGAATCCAAGAACTCAACGGCCCTGCGATAAGAGGAACAGTAATAACAGTCATCAAAATAGAAAATACTAGGTAACCCAAAAAGTCGGAGAATCACACGCATGGATGTAGGTGAGCGCTTGTTAGGTTGCCAGCGACAAACAATAAGATGCTATTCGGCCAGCGTCAACAAAATCGACTGATGATGTGAGCACCTGTATCGATCAATCACGTGTAGTTTCACTAGTGATTGATCGACTTTACTGATTTGTTCGATCGATTTTAACTCAGCAGATCGGACATTGGGCCTTGTTAGTTGTTTGTTCTGTGCCATGATGCACTAAATTTCGTCATCAAAAATGAAGAGTCGGGATTTGAAAAAAAACGTCTTTGCAAGCTTACAGCCAGC